GTGTGTGCCTTGTTTTCCTTAGGAAATAAAGCTGTATATGTTGTTGGTTGTTAAAGACTGACTGATATTGGGGGGTGGGGAGGGAGGGGACACATTCTTTGAAGAGTTATCTGACATGTTATGGCACACCAGGGCAGCATAATTCACATATGCAGGTGAACTGTCCACCATGATGCTGTGTTTCACACCACCTAGATGCATGCTGCTAGTAAAAAATGAGGTTAAACTGGTTGTGAACTGCTCAAATTCCCCTCTTCTGACCTTTGTTACCTCTGCTTTCCCTGATTAATTATCTTAGAGGGACCCATGGGTTAGTTATCCGTCCCCCTACTTTTTGCTGGTGTTAACGTCATTGCTCCCTGGCATGCTGGGTGGCAGTATGGACACAGTTGTCAGCCCTACATCAGGGGCACAGATTAGAGCTATGTGGCAGCAGCTTTCAGTGGAGTCAGTCATGGGGTCACCCTTACCAATTAACATGTCCTTGTTGCTCAGCCCTCCTGGGTTGAGCAGAGAGAATGCCCCCGTATTGCACTTCCTCTCCTTTTCTTTGTCATGTCCTTGTGTGACAAGATATTGAACAGAATCTGAAGATTCATTGGAATCTGACAGGGCCATGCTGTGAGCACTTGAATTTGTGACCTCTGGGCTGTCAACTGTGCACCCACATTCAAGCTTGGATTAAAGTGCAAAGAAGGGGTATCAAGTGTTTGTCAGGACTGGCCAACCTATCACGCTCTTTGGAGTGGCTGTGAAGTTGTTTGCTCTGAAGCAGGTATCAATAAGATCCATGTTGCATTCCTTGCTGTGTCACTTCCTGGGGGACCTAGGTTCTCAGCTCCACCATTGGCACAGTGGGGATATGGTTGCTCCCCTACTTCACAAAGCATTTGTGAAACTCATTGGATTAATGCCTGTAAAGCAGTGGTCTACAACCTTTTTAAGCACAAGATCACCTTTTGAATTAAAGTGCAACCCAGGATCTATCTGAGCCGCACCCCCTGCCTGCCTGGTGGTGGGACACACATGGCATCAAGCCGCTCCCAGGGCAGCTGCAGCGGGGCTCAGGGCTCAGACACCAGCATGCAGTGGCAGCCACCTCCTCCCCATGCACAGATCGGGGGGCACATACCCCCCAGGCTTTTGCTGGGGTGCCCACAGCGGTGGGAGACCCCCTGTCCCCGCACTCCTGGATGAACCACCTGGGCTCTGACTGTCCCACCACCTGGCCCAGCCAGGGTCCCACTCACCTCAGCCCCTGCCCCTGCCTCTGCCTCACTCCCTCAAGGGGGCCTTGATGTGACCCCTTCCCCACCCTTTCCCTCTCCCACAGACTGACCTGCTGGGTGGGGAGAGGAGGGAGGGCACACATGCATGCATGCCTGCATGCACTCAGCCCCCAATTGACTGTCAGAGGCTCCATGATCTACCAGTCAATCGCGATCTACCTGTTGGTGACTACTGCTGTAAAGCATTTGAGATCTATTGATGGAGTTTCCTATACCAATGGACTATATCACTCTGTCGCTAGCTCTCTGTTTCACCCTAGTAGCTGCTGGCCAGCTTGGCAGTTTTGTAAATAACTGCAGGTCACCTTTCATTCCAGATGTCTTTAAATACAGGAATCAAAATCAATCATTGCCTCAGAGAAAGGGACCAAAACAGGTAGGGAGAGCATTTTAACAGGGTCCCTTGTATCTCTCTGGAGCTGTGCACGTCCTATTTTGCATCATGCTGCCGGTCACCCAGCTCAATCAATCAGCTTATAGAACTCATGGTACAGTTCCAGAATGAGCTCCACCAGTGATGCACAGAGCAGAAAGATTACTTGGAACCTGGAGTACTTCCAGGGACACTGCACTTACAGAGTCATTAATCAGGTAACTATAACAGGAAGTCGGAGCAATGCAAAAAATAGCGAGGCATCATTTTGCACCCTTGGAATAGATACGGCCCATTTATATTCCTCTGCATGTTGCACAGAAAATGGAAGCTGCTTATTGGACAGGTTATTTAATTAAGCAAGGCTATATTTATCCATCCTGTATAATGTGCACCGTTCGGAGGTCAAATATCCAGCACTTTGGAAAATGCTAGGTTCTTGTGTCAGAGGCGTTAACAGCCAGTGCCTATGCCCCGGGCAGCAGCGGCTGGGCCAGATAGGACAGCAGCAGTGGCTAGGCTGGCAGCATTGACGGCTGATGTTCTTGCCCCACCTCTGAGTCAGCTTCTGTTGCTGATGTCCCAGTTGCCGGCTGCTGGTGATGTTACTGTCTTGTGTTGATTCTGAACAGCAGAAGGCCCAGAGATGAGAATAGTTTCCAGGAGGACATTGCTTAGTGCACTGTTCCCCAAACTTGTCATAACTGGGGCACCCTTTTCTGGATTAAAATTGGGGGGCGCATGTCACATCTGAAAAGGGGGGTGTGTGTAATATATATTACATACACATACACATGCCTTTTCAGATGTAGGAGTGAAGTCTATATTTCAAAACTTATAGCATATTCCATTCCCCTGCCAAAAGAAATCATACTAGTGCTGAGATGTACTGGTAAAAGAACGGCACCAAAAAAAAAGGGCTGTGCCCTGCTCTTTCCACTGTCTGCCCCCTCCTGACCCCCAGTCTGTACTTCAGGAGACAAGGGCAACCTTCACCGCTGAAGCTGCTTTAGCTGCCAATCATGCCCATGACTCCTCCTGCCGGCCCTGGAAGTGGGGGAGAAGAGGAAGGGGAAGAATAGAGCTGCAAAGCACAGCACCATCTGTGCGCCTGCCTGCCTACTGGGGGGCTGACATAGGGGCTGCCCGAGGGCAGGGGTGACTGGGGGAAGGCAGCAGCAACTTTGGTAGTTGCTAGATGAGCAGCCACAGGCATCATCACCAGAGTTGCTGGGGCAGGCACAAGGTGCCAGATGGTGGAGAAGAGCATTTATCTCCTCACAAGGGTGATCTCAGGGCTCACTAGTGTGCTGCAGCCCACCCTTTGGAAATCACTGACTTAGTGCTTAGATCAGAGGACTAGAAACTAAGACAAATCCTGTGTCCTATGCCCTCCTCTGTCAGTGATTTCCTTGGGGTCCATGAAAGTGCTCTGAAAAGTCAGGCTTTCAGCCCTCTCCATGCCTTATTTTACTCATTATTTAAAGGGGGCAGAATACAGTCTTTGCATAAATGTTGCCAAGTTTGAACTAGAGTTAGGTTGAAGATGATTAGTCTTATCCTTAAGAAACCAAACAGTAACTAAAGAGTTGCAGGCTTGGCTCCTTGTCCTTGCACTTGTTTCTGTGGGACATTGAATAACATACATCAGGACTGGCAACCTGTGTCCCATGAGCCAGATGTGACCTGAAACAATGTTTTATCCAGCCTGGGAAGGTCTGAGCCAGCCCAATGTGGCATGCAGGATCCAGCAGTCCCCTCCACAGCACCCTCCTCTGCATCCCTACCTGATGCTCTTTCATGGTTGTGCTTACCTCATTGCAGGGGGGGCTTGGTATCTGCAGTGAGGAGAAATGCAGGCAACTTGATCTCTCCAGGAGGTAGAGATTTGAGGCCTGCAGCATGGATCTGGGTCATAAGCTCCAGCCTGCAATAGCAAATGGTTGCATACTCCTGATTTACATGATCAGTGGGCTGAGGATTCTTTCTCTTTTTAAAAACTCTGTTTCCCACCCTGCTATAGTGTTGCATAAATTGCTGATTTTATCCCCTGGAGGC